GAGGCACCGTGCTCCGGCGGCTCGGTGGCAGGTAGGTCCACGCCGGCGGGAGGCCCCTGTTCAAGGAGGGGCTCCTTCCCTACAGGTATCGCCCTCCCACCTGGTCTCTGGCCTAAGGGTAGTACAGAGGAGAGACAACCCACTGGTGGCCCTCCCGGTGTCGGTAAACCCTTCGGAACCCTTGGAAAACACAAGATAACTAAATCACTGCCGGTGTCACTGTAATTTTGTGGAAACAAACATGCTGCCAGAGCTTCCCATCTTCTGAAATAGCTGTGTTTCAGAGGTGTTACATATGGAGTCCTCATCCTTGGTCAAAACTGTTAAATTGACTGTATTAAAAGTAATTATCTTTTGAATAGATATTTATCCTCCCTTAACTGGGATAAAGATGTCCAGCTGTAAAGTATGGGTTTTGCTCACGTGCCTTATTTCACAATACCTAGCAGTGCTATTTCTTTACATACCTTCTTGTTAGATGGATAGTTGGTACTTTTCCAGTATTCGGAACGCTTTTTCTGAGGGGGGAAAAAAAAGGGGTGTTTTTGTAAAGGTTAAGGTACTAATGCGTTTTTGCTTTTACATTTTGCATGTCTAAACAAAATGGGAGAAAGTCATTCAGTTTTTTAATGTCGATTTCTGTCCTTCCCTAGACATCATTTTTATTTGTCCATAGTCTCTTACTTCACAGCAATCCCAGAATTCATGTACCTTGAAGTATAGCATATTGCCAATATTCTCGTGGGATCTGCTAGTTAATTTTGTGTGATCTTGCTCAAGAGAAGTGTAGCCTGTTATTAGCAAGGTAGGTGTAAGCTAGTCTATATTTGGAGGAAGATGTGTCTTATCTGTGAAGAGATTTGCATTTTCTGTGATGTGGCTCGCTGCAGCCCTAGATGATTCTCCCAGGACTGCATAAGCTTTTGTGCAAGGCTGCCTTGTAATAGCATGTAGACTGTAATTATGGATGCGCAGACTGATGTCACTGAGTCTATAAACGTTCCTAGGGGGAGATTGTCTGCATCAGAAACACGAGCAGGGAATTCAGATTTAACCCAGTGCTCTAGCTGCAAAAAATTATGTCTGTTTTGCTGTTCATCCAAGTTCAGGTTTAACTTGTACTCAGGTCTTTAGTGAGTGGTCTGTGAGAATCCTGTTCGACTGACTTTACACTTTTAAACCTGCATTGGAAATGGCTGACGCAGTGTCTGAAGGGAATTAATTCACTTGTTCAGGTGCCTACACCAGCATCTCAAATATTCCCCAAAAGTCTATGAAAGTTCCCATTATCACACACCATTCACCACCTGATCGCCTCACTGCTCATTCGTTGTCCTTAAAATTACTCCAACATCTCTTCCTCTCAAAAATTGGCATTAATTAAGAAAGCTTAGGGGTACCTAGTAGCAACCTTCCAACACCTAAGTGGAGGTTACCAAGAAGAAAGAGACAGACTGTTTACTGAATTGTATGACAGGAAAATGAGACGAAGTAGTTGTAAGTTGAAATGAGGTTCCAACTGGTGGGGAGGAGGGGAGCTTGTTTTGAGGCTAAGCAAGCCCTGGGACAAGAAACTAAAGAAATTGTAGAATCTCCATCCTGGGAGGTTTTCAAGACCCAACTGGGCAAAGCCCAGAATAGCCCAAGTTCAGCATTAATCTTGCTTTGTGCAGGATGTTGGACTCAAAGTCAAGACCTCCTGAGGCCCCTTCAAGCTGTAATGATTCTGTCATTCTGAAATAATTTTCTTCTTTTTAACAACAACCAACCACACAGAAAGCTCTTGCTCCTTGCCAGAGTACTCAGTTGTGAACGAATACTATTTAATACTTTATAACTCACCCTGACTTGAAAAGGGTGGCTTTGATGAGGTAACAGTAACTTCAATCACATGCGACGCATCAGGCCTAAAAATGTTGTTAAGTATAGAAAAGCTAGTTTTGGTAACTTCTAGGTTCCTTTCCTTCTGAATTCAGGTTAAAAAGGCGGCTACGAGAAGAGCCTTTCCATACAAACTACCAGTACGTAAAGGAAGTTCTTTTACTAATCGTTGTCACAGCATCTGAACATTCAATGCTGCATTACATCATCAGGAGAGAAATATCAATGAGACATGGATCCACAACAGAGCATTAACATTTAAAGGGGTTTTACTGCATCTTTTCACGTGTATCTACCACACATCTTAGGAGCAGAGTAGCATAGAAGCCCATTTTGACAACGTACGAAGGTATGCAGATGTGCTAATGGAAAAAAGGCAAACACCTCGGGGAAATTTACTGACATGTAAGGAATTCAAAAAAGGAAAAAGTGAAAGATTTGTTCTGCTTGGTTTTATGGGGGCCAAGATTTTATCCCAGAGGAATAAAGCTAGGAAAGAAAAAAGAGCATGACATCAGAAGGAAAAAAGCTGGAATCTGGGTGAACTGTGTAACTCTGCCACTTCCAGTACCAGGGGAAAATACAAAAGTTTTCCTCTCATGTAAGCCATATATGTTCCAAAATAAAGCACACACCGCTTTAACCTGTCAAGTTACTGTGATTTATCAACTCATCACAGAAGGTTTCCTGCACAGCAAGACAGAAATGGACCCCTGTGCAATGGACATGGACCTGGGAGTCCAGCAGGCTCATGCAGAAGGGGCAGTACATCCAGCCTGCATGGGCAGCGTCAAGGTAAGGCACATGCACGGCAAGATCTGGCAGCACCCGTGCAGGTTTTCTGGCATGGGGACACAGAAGCCAAGCCGCCAGTAGTCTTCTCTCCCACCTGGACAGAAAGTGTTGAGCTGGAGAAAAGGGACGCATTTAAGGAAATTTGGACTGTGACAGCCTTAGCTCGTAACAGTCTTCCAGCATCAGTAGATTTGTTTCCCCCACCTGCTATGAGGGAAAAAAAATAAAATCAATAATCCATTTTTCTGAAAGGCCCTTTTACATGTTATACAAATTAAAGTGCTAGTTCTACAAACTTGAACATGTTTCACAATACTACTGTGATAAATAGGGCTGTTTATCAAGGCTGGTGGGAGTTTCCGTCAGGCCTGAGACAACACTAAACATCTGGTTTTGTTGTTACACCTCTTCCTTCAGACTCACTTGTTCTCCTTGGCATCTCCCTTTTTCAGGGCAGTAAAACTAAACACGTGCATGTTTACAAGTTACACAGAGATGTGCTTTTTATGCCTTTTTAGTCTAGCTGGTTATGCAGCTGGTATTGCTGTGGAAAAATGTGTTAACCGGTCCCTTCTGGGTCTATCAGATACAGAGCATCTCTCTGCCAATCTTGGGGATTGTAACTGTAACTGAAACAGTTTGAGCACAAGTCATTGAAGCTGTTTTAGTGCAAATGGCTCACCTACTGGTGAATGCTGCATCTGTTATGGCGATGTAAACCAGGTCTCACGAGCCCACGTCTTTCATTTCTGCTTTTAAATCAACAAAAATTAAGACTGTCTAAACTTCTGCATCCACATAATATAAAGTACAAAACAATCTAATTAATTGCCTGTTCATGTTTCAACTTTAATCTGAAATGAATACAAAACTGTTTGTAGGAAAAAAGTACAGAGCAGATTGCTTTACGAGTTAGTCCATGAAAGAATGTAAGATTTTTTTTCTGTAGTCCAGTGTGTTAGTTTTCTTCCATATGATGCATGATATATCTTGAAATCAAGTAAAAAGCCTGACAATGATCATGCCTTTGTCTAATCACATAGCAAATCATTGGCTGATGAAACATATTTTTCTAAGCTTCGCAAGACAACTTATTAGTGGACTGATCCAAAAATGTCTCAGAAATGTGTACAAAGGGCACCCTAGTGTCGTATCTATACTGGAACAAAATTTTTTTAAGTTCAAAGCAAGCTCTTAGACCGTTCTGAAACTCAGCGAGACGAATTGATTTCTTTTTTTGAGTGCACACTTACCTTTTCAACTTACAATTAAAATATAGCCATGCTCAAGTATTTCAGGAAAAAAAAACTTCAATGCACTCATACTCTTGCCAACAACACATATGACTTATAAAGTTGAAACCTACAATTTACCAACAGTTTTAAACTATAAAATTTTATAGCTGATATGTAAAAATAAGTATAGTACATAAACATTTAAAATATGAAGACAGACATTGATTATCTAGGAACTTAAGTTTCATTATTGTATTTATTCATATACCAAAGTACAAACGTTTTGACAAGAAATCCAGTGTGTGTGTGTATATATATGCATTAAAAAAACCTCATTTGATCTTCAAGTCACCAAGGAACATAAGATTTCTTTCCCCTATACCTCTAGGATAAGTAAAAGGGAACTTTCAGTTTACCACATCAACAGTATCAATATAATTAATTTTAAAAGACAAATACGTGTTTAACAAACCTTTGTGGGCTCCTCTGCAAAATGGACTACTACTTTCTCAAAGAAGTGGTTGCCTGTTGAGCGATGAGTAGTGGAATGGGGACACTCTGTGGGGAAATGAAAGAAACGCAAGTTCTTGTGCTTTCTTGGACTATCATCTTTAATCCTTTACATTTTCCTGTTTACCATGATTTGGTGAAAAGAGAGGCAAGCATTTAATTCCTGCACTTACTCAGTTCTCCCAAGAGCCCTTTGAGTCTTCTGCAAAGGGCATGCTGATCTTTGCAATAATTGGTTATGAATCTGTTCTTGGATCCACACTCTGCCTCTCAGCAAAGTCATTGACACAGTTATAAAGTTTGTGTGCTGTAAAAACCCGAGGAAGCCTTGTCCCAGGCTGTCCTACACATCAGTGCATCTCTAAGTAAGTAAATTTAGGCAAAGACTCTTCTGGGATTTGCACTGCAGAATTGCCAAAGTGAAATCTTTGCCATAAAACTAAAGGAGTGGTAACGCTAACAACATCTTTACAAAGTTTTGCAAGTCATATTCATTTGACAAGATCTATACATTATAGAAACTTCCACACACAAAAATGCATTTGTTTTATGGTCTGCTTTTTACGTTTTGGAGCGTGCAGTTCACAGGGCGCTGCCTCTGGGATGGATCAGACCCATTGAACATTGCTGACTGAAGTCCTTGAATTTCAGGCACTAGGACTGCTTGTCCAGTCAGAGTTAAGTACATATGGAAACTGCAGCTCAGAGTATCAGGCAGAGTCACTGAGAGAATAGCAGAGCCTCCCCTCAGTACCTCTGCAGACTGTTCTGAATTATGTGATATCACTATATGCAACTTCTAGCCACACCACAGTTGCTGTAACCCTAGTTACAGGTGGGTAAGTAACAGCTTTCTGCACTAAGGAAGAGAATTAGTACCTCATCGCTATAGTCAAAGAGCACACAAAGGGACAGATTTAATCCATGCATTTGTGATTCACTGACATGTATTAGCAGTGACACAAAATACTGATGCTCAGCTCATGGTTACAAAACTCAAGTCAGATTTAGAGGCCAGCTGTTTTTGATGTTACTCTACTAGTTTCTCTCTTGAGGACTCTGCTGGGGCTTATGGGATACACCTGATCTCTCTAGGAAGGACAGGGATAGTCAAGAATGGGAACAGATTTTTAGCAAGAACATGTCTGTCAAGGGGGACAACTAATTTTACAGCCACCTTAGTTAAATTATATCACTTGCACTTCCCTCCATCCAGATCAGTAGTCGAGTTTGTCAACTACAATTATGTTTCTTTGAAATTAAGAGCAGGATGCTCACAAGCCAGCTTTATATTAAACAGCAAATGGGACCAAAATCTTAGTACAAAAATATCATTAATGTTTGTATTAGGTGTAGGTGGCATGGTTTTGGTAGCAGGGGGGCTGCAGAGGTGGCCTCTGTGAGTACAGACCAGGAGCAATAAATTAATCTTCCCCAAGTCAAGTCTGTTTTGCCTGTGATGGTAATAGGTAAGCGATCTTCCTGTCTTTATCTTGACCCATGAGCTTTTTCATTTTATTTTCTCTCCATTCTGTTGAGGAGGGGGAGTGAAAGAGCAGCTTGGTGGGCATCTGGCAGCCAGCCAAGGTTAACCCACCATAATGTTACAGACCTTCTTACAGTTAAGACCTCATGTATTTGCAGTAATTACCAAGCATTTCCACAATTAGCAAGTGACAAGGAAATGTAGTTAGTAGACAGGCGAGGGGACTGCTACATGACAGTACGTGCTATGTCTTTTTTTTTTTTCTAGGCAACTATAGCTTAGTCTTAGTTTTTAAGGAACATATTTACTGGAATGCAGTAACAAAACCTCTATTTTGAACAAGTAGCTATGTCTGAGTAATAGGAGATCTCCTGGGAAGCAGGAACCAACTAGTGTCTGAGTTTGGGGGTTTGTAGGCTATGAAAGGAAAATAGCTAAAGCAGCAAAGAAAAGGTAACACAAACATACCATTGTTAGAAAATGCAGTAAAAAAAAAAAACCACTATGAAATCTCAGAATTCTGCCATCCTTTAAGAGGAGATCACGAATCAAACTTAGTTACCTCTTTTCTTCATTGTGTAACAGAAGTAGGGAAGAACACAACAACAGATAACTAAGTATGCCTAAGTACACTGTGACCTAGTTATGTAGATGCTGCACTCACCCATTATATCTGAGCGCAGCTTCCCTAATCCCCAGGCTAAAATTCACATGAAATCCAGGATTTCAAGAAAAGAATGTGGAACTAATTACTTAAAATATACGCACTATCTGTCAGCAAACACCAAACTGGATTAAATTGCTTGACACATATTATGCCTAGTGGGTACGATTCAAAATCTGAAATTTACAGACAGACATTTTAGGGTGCTATACATCTGTTCCTACGGGAATCCTGTCATTTGGTTATCTGCAACTGCAGGGCGGGGCTATAAGTTTTGGCCCAGCTGAGCTACAGAAGAGAAACATCATCACAAACCCTTAAAACCCTGTTGAACACTAAACCAAGTTGTGGAGTAGCTCCTATTAAAAGGCTGTTTCCAGTCAACCCAACTACAAATGGCAACCTCATCACTTGGGCTGAGACTTCTAAATCATAGGATATGATACAAGCCAGCACACTCTGCTGGGTGCCAGGGTGCTTGTCCTGTCTCTAGCCCGTGCTCAAAAGCTAATCATGGAGGTAGTCCAGGCTCACATAAATCTCTGAGCCTTTACAATGGCAGAAGCGGCCTCTTGGGTATTTGTGATTCTAGGCTGTGCTACAATGGCTTCTAATATGCAGACCTTCTTCACTGATTTTATCTTGCCATATGGAGATCACAAAGCTAGAGATGCAGTATATAAAAAATAAGAGGGCGCTTTCCTCTTTAATATAGCCATTTTTCTGTAAAGTGTTCTAAAAGCCAGTATGAGAATTCTTTCCTATTATGAACCAGAGGTTGTCTTCCTTTTGATTTTGCAGAAGAATTTTAATTGAAATACTTAGAACTCAAGCTTGGAGTTAACTTATCCTTTGAAGCTGGAAATCTTCATCTCAGGGGATTCATTCTGCCTTGACTGTGGGTTTTGTGTAAAGCAAAGCCAGATTGTTTTCTTTGGTAGAGACTGAGCAAACTGTTACTGACTTTTAAATATTCAGGATCTGTTCCAAAGCATGATGGTTGCTAGCATGAATGATATAATTTTTAATGGAAATTAATTGTATTTTTAGTTTACAGTCCATGCTGTAAACTGTCTTGCTTCCAACTTCAATTGCATGACCTAATATAGGGAAGGCTATGAGCAAGTAGTTCAGTGGGATTGTTTTAAGCTAATAAGACTGTAACCTGCAAAAAGTGAGGAGGCAGCATATATTAAGGTCTGCCACTCATTCCCTGGTGATAGCTTTCAGCAAACCAGAGGGGTTAGTTTCCTAGACCAGCACACCAAAACGCAAACTGTTAAAGGCTGTAGTGAGCTGTAGTGTGAGCAACACATTTCCTGCTTTCATGTGGTACAACTGCCTGCAGCCTAGCCAGAAATCTGCTGCTTTACTCATGAAAATCTTTTTTTCCCAGTGTATTGCCATGCAGATGAAAGGAAATTCAAAACCATTCTATTAACATGACCTCTGGGGAGTCCCCAGTCTATTTCTAGCTAAAGCAGAATCCAGTATTTTGGGCACTCATTTAAAACTTCCCATGGAGTAGTATAATAGGAAACATCTTCTGTCACCCACAGAAATTCATTTTCATCCTTCAAAACTGCAATAATTACAGTAGCTAGCCCACCTGGAATTGCGGTCAACTTCCAGTGGTGCTTGAGCCATCTCTCCAGAGAAACCCTGAGGAACTTGGACCACTTTGCAGCACTGTCGGAAAACCATCTCAGCAGGTTCTTGCAGGCCAAATGGGGATTCACGCCTGACAGTAAGGGCAGAAGTCTCTCAGAGAGCAGCTGGCACCCAAACGTTTGCCAGCCCCCAGACCTCTATTGCCGGTCAGGGGAGATCCTACAGACTAGGGATATCCATGCATGGTATATCTTTCAGAGAGGCACAGCTAGATTCTGAATTATTTGCATTTTCCGTATGTCTTAATGGTGCATTCCTGTGTAAATAGGATTTAAATTACGGGATTTAAATAAAGCTTACACTCCACCTTCAGGTAGAAACAATAGGGGTATCTCTTTGTCAAATCTGAGCTTCTTTACCTGGGGCTCTAGCATGCAGGTATGTGCAGAGAGGAGGGTTCAAATCCCATCCTCCTCACTGTATGGGGAGGAAAAGGTGAAGCCAAGTCTTAATACATTAATTATAGAAAGAATAGGACATTGCAACATGGACAGCAACAGCGTTAGCACCTACAGCTTCTCTCTTACTGACAGAGGATATGCTCTACTGTCCAGCACCACTTCTGAGACCATGATTGCAGATGAAGCAAAAAGGGGAGACAGACTGGGCTGCACATTGCCAACATGTATTAGAAATAAGATATGGCATAGGTTAATCCTTCTGATAACAAATGCTTATGCATCCCCAAACAGAAAACCCAACTGGATTTACTTGTAAATATTCAGAGAAATAACTTAAAGAAGAAATGAAAGGAAAGCAGATGTCTTTTTTCATATATAACAAAATACAAAGTCTGGCTTTAGGTGCAAAGGAGATTCCAAATCTGCAGTCGCCAGAGCTCCAGATTTGGTGGAGAACTGGGCTGGTATTTGAGATACACGTACCCAGCTTAGACCTTGGGGCAGCCAGTTCCATTAACGCATGGTGCTCTGCACCATATTAGCAGCCAAATACAGGCACAGACTCTGCTTCTTAACAAAGATGCCAATTTTATCTGCTGAGCAAAAGGATGAGGACAGGGAGAGGAATTAACCCATGAAGAACTGCTGCTCACCTGTTGTAGTGCAAGGGATGTTTCACATACCGCAACCCTGATGTGTTGCCACAACTGCAGGTAGAGTCCTTTCCCTCCCTACTCCCTGCTTTCCTGCTTGCTGGGCATCGAGCAACCTGCGAAGGATGGCAGAAAGCTGGCCTTCGTATTCCAAGGTATTGGTCCTTTTATCCAAAAAACAGGTAAGCAAAGACTGTAGATTGATGTCACTGATAAGCTAAACAGTGAAACAGCAATGTTGTCATTTCAATTAATGTGGCCATTCAATATAAGTGGCCCATGGAGCTCACCTGTCTGAAGCTCAGACCTTCAGGTTGGTGGCAGACTGCAGGCAGGTAGCATAGCATCAGGTCACAGACCAGGGCTGGTTTAAAGCTTTCCTTTGCAATAAGAACTCCTTGAAAGGTGGGGCTTTACTATGTATTTATTGCTATTGAGAATGAGGATTCTGGACTGTAAAAGGCACCTGTACTAACCAGCAGTAACATAATCAGGAACAGCGGCTGGTTCCTGTTCCCGCCTACAGAAAGAACATCTCCGGTGGACTACACTGGTAGAGCTTTCGTATCACTGGACAGTCCAAGACTGACCACTCCCTAGCTATTAGAAATTCTTTGTTATCTTTTAAAATTTATTTACTATATTTAAGATTTATTCATTTTTTACAAATACCCTGTTAAAATACTTCATTACTTTTTCAGCATTGGTCTAATTTTCTCAATTACCTCTGAATAACAATATTTCAGTGTTTCTATATTTGAACATAAGGAATAAAGAATTTTGGATTAGAGTTTGTTTTGTAAATAGTCACCACAGCTGGTGCTCTAATGCTCCCAGGGATAAACGTCATATAAGCTACCCAACTAGGCAGAACTGTTCTATAAGCAGACTCTGCAGGAAGAACAGCTGTGATGCATACAGAAGCATGATGAGGCTTTTCAGATTTCCTTTGTCTTCTGAGAATTCAAAAGGAAAGAAAGATGTCATGGTTCTACTGTAGAATGTGGGCAGCCCGACTCATCAGCACGAGATGCTGCCAGAGCAGAAAGGCTCTGTCTCCTAGGGGTGCACACAGGGCGCCCTCTCTCTTAGGGGTGCCCTTAAGTGACAGGGCACGTGCCTCAGAGACGGTCAAAATAAGGAGTAACAATAAGTGTATTCAGAAGCAGTCATTTCCTGGACATAGAATAAAGTTAGTGAACATTTATTTCAAATCTTCAATTCCCAATACCGTGATTTCAAAGCTTTGAAATACCTGTGAAATATCTTTTCTTTCCCATTACATACATTCAGTGCCAGTGAAGAGTTCCAGTCTTTTAGGGAATAATATAGATGAAAAACCAAAGTCAAACCTACCCAAGTATTGTGAGAGTTCAGATTCCATTGCTGGCTTCTTTTTTTTTTTCTCCCTAGAGACCCTGTAAATAACAACAGTAATTACTGTGGTTCCATTTCCAGTAGCGTAAGATTTGCATGGGCACCACTACTCTAAATCCAACTCTGTACCTAACTCTTTTAACCGCCTGGCCAATTCTTCAGTTGTTTTCAAGTGGCCATCAGTAATCAACCTGCTAGCAATAGAAACCTTTTAATCCCTATAGAACATAATTGTGTCGCTAATTTAGCTTGACTGACTTTCATCTAGAATGTAGTCCTTTGTAAAAATAGCAATTTGCCTTTTGACCAACAGCAACTGCATTTTCATAGTCTTGTCATACGT